CGCTGGGTGCTGGTCCCCTGCCTTCACTGCCTGCCTCAGCCCTGCCTCAGCAGGAGCTCTTGGCTTCTTTTCCCCACTGTATCCCAACGGATACAAGGGAGCAGTGAGCTCCCCTGGTGAGGGATGTTTAGTCTCTTCCATTTAGTGTATTTTTCTTTGCTTGTTTCTTAAAACACTTCTCTTGTTTGCTAAACAAGAGCCGTCCTGTCTGCATCCCATGGTGTGAACCTACCCCTGCATTTCCCTTCTGGTAGGCCTGATGCTAAAAGCATAGTGGTGGGATACTGTGGATATAGACCATAGGCATTTATTTATGTGTGTCATCTCTCAAATGCTCCCTAAGGCCCAGGGCACAGCACTTTTAAAATCATGGAATCATGGAATGGTTTGGGTTGAAGGGACCTTAAAGCTCCTCCAGCTCCAACCCCTGCCCCGGGCAGGGACACCTTCCACTAGAGCAGGTTGCTCCAAGCCCCTGTGTCCAACCTGGCCTTGAACACTGCCAGGGATGGGGCAGCCACAGCTTCTCTGGGCACCCTGCGCCAGGGTCTCTCCATCCTCACAAATTGATTAGGAAGGGCAGGAATTGGCACCTACAACCCGTGTGCCAGTGCTTTGCCAGGCACAGTCCTGCCTGTGTCAGGTGGGGTGGAGCTGAGCTCGCTCAGACCATCGGTGTTATCCACTGGGAAGGAGGCAGGAGGCAGGTGAAGGTCCCTAAAAACACCCTTGGGATCCAACCAGGGAGCAGCATAAATTAACTTCTCATTGACTTTGCTCAGTTGCTTTACCAGGAGACAGACTTTAATACTCAACATCTACTCCCAACCATTTCAGTTAACGGGGCACCTCCCCCTGTACCTCTTTGGGGTATCAGCCCTCCCATTTACAGGAGCTGTACCAGCCTTGGAGCTGAAAACCAGCTGGAATTCTGGCTGGATCTCGAGCTTGCAGTCCCAGGTGGAGACTGTCATTGCGGCTGGAGGGAGATGGAGCTGAGCCCAGATTGCCCTTTGTTGCCCCAGGGCTGGCTCCTGAGTCTCCAGATCCTGTTTAACTTATCTGATACTCCTTTTTCTTCCTCCTTTAAGACCCTCTATTGAAATGGGAGATGCTGACACGTCCATCAGGAGGCAGAACTGCCTCTCGGGATTAGCAGATGCTAAAGAAGTGTCTCCTTTTCACTTACCCCTTCTCCTCCCTCCCAAAAACTAAGGAAAGAAGCAAACAGTATAACAAAACCACCCCAAGAGCACATGGGCCATGGATAACATTGAACGTTGCACCTCACAGCATAGCAGTTGATACAAACAAGAGGCTGGGCTTGCAAGTTAACACCAGGGTTGTCAGAAAAGCTTTTCACCATCTAAACTGTGTTCACCAATCTTCAGGATGGGGCAGAGATCAATCCCTCTCGTGGCTTTATCTCCTCGGGCTGGTTGCTGCTTATTATGGGTGGGGAAAACAGAATCCTGTGCCATGATTTGTTAGAGATGGCTGCGGGTGGGCTTGGGATGGAACAAGCTGCTCACTGTGAAATCCTCAGTCCCCATCCTCCCTTTCCCCCACAGAAATTCCCTGTACATGTTTTAAAACCAAAAGGTAAATGTAGCAGTCTGGTTATTTTAGTACATGGCTTCATAAGGCAGAAAAAACCTAGTGGGTGCAGTGTGGGGGCAGTTGCTGTCAGAATTCATGTCGAATTCTTCACTTGACTTGTTTCTGTATAAAAGCTTTAATCAGTAAAAGACCCATTTCTTGTAGGAAAGCTCATGTTCTTCGAAACACCACCCAAAAAAAGGCTGTTTCTTTCTTCCTGCCTTAAGACAACGTTGTCAATCCTTTCGCTGCAGTGCTGCTGTGGTACAAACTTGGTGTTGCAGCAGCCAAGTCCTGGGGAGTTCCCCACTGGCTTGGGAGGAGCGTGGCCGGAGTCCTCTGCTGCAGTGGCCATCGTCAGAGCTCCAGGTACCTGATCAGGGCCACCATTGCCAGAGAGTTAGTTGTGACGACGACAGCGTGTGGCACTGGCCTCGTCACGGAGTCTTCCACCATCATACTTGTCCCTGAAAGAAAGGGAACAGGGAAGGAGCCACTGTCGTGTTGCACAGAAACCACCAGGTGCCGTGAGGAAAGAGCTGGGAAGGTTGGTAAAGTGGTAGTTGCTGATACTGTGATTGTCACTGAGGAGCCTCCCAGGAATGTTTGGAATCCCGGGATGGTTTGGGTTGGAAGGGACTCTTGGTGCTCGTGTGGGGCTTTGGCTGCCAAAGCCAGAGCTGGGTTTGGACTTGGACTGAAAGGTTGGTCAGAGCCTGGGGATGGGTTGGCTGTTGGAGGGCTGGAGAGGAGAACATGAGAAGTTCATGTTCTCAACAGCACAAGGGAGCCAAAGACCAATTCCAGAGTGTAAACCACAGGGGCAGGATGTTCTGCCGTGGTCCTGGAAGGGCGAGTGGGATTTGAAAGCATTGTCTGTTGTGCTGTGCTATGGCCAGGTCATTGCCTATCAAAGAGCAGCTGTGGCGAATGGCAGGGAAGTCCTGCAGGTTGAACCTTGTTTTCCAGGGGTGCGTGCAGCACCCTGGGGCTGGGTGTGTGTGAGGAGTGTGTAAACGCGGAGGAGTGCCCGTACCACTGTTGCGGAGGATGTGAACCTCCGCTGGGATTCCGTCTCCCCCGGGGCCCGTCACCCTGATCTGGACAAAGGCGTGAGTGAAGTCTTCAGGGACAGGGATGTCGAGCTGGTTCTTGCTGGCCAGGTACAGTGTGGGAGCAGAGTGGGAATCCTGCCTGTAGAGCATCTGTTGGAAAAGGCAAGTCTGAGTTTGTGTGCACTGTGATCTCCATAGGGTCGCCTCCAGGAGGCCAGCCACAGCCTGCCTGTACCTTGTAGCCCGTAACTGCAGACTCCTCCGCCTTTGCCACCACTGGGTCCCACTTGATGCTGACTGTAGACCCAGAAAAAGTCCAGGAGATGTTGCCAGGTGGCCTCTTTGGTGCTAAGAGATAAAACCAAGTAAGTCAGAGACTGATGAGAAGGTTGTGCGAGTTTCAGCTCTCTCCTGAGACTTTACAACTGGTTGACGGTGCTTATGGCACCACCATGGTTGGTTTAAACCCAGCAGAGGTTACCCTGAGCTCAGATCTCCTCTGATAAGGGATACACAGACCACAAGACTAACCTGAGGCAGTTCAAGTAGTTTTATGGACTGCTTAAAATGGTGTTAGAGCACCCAGATAAAGCCCTGATGAGGCCGGGGGTCACTGGGGATCCTCCGGAGGAGCAGCAGCCCCAGGGAGGGCAATGTTCAAACCAGGGCTCACTCACGTGGCTTCGTGGTCGTGACGTTGGTGGAGGGGCTGGGGGGGCCGGTGCCCGCCCGGTTGTAAGCTCTGACCGACACGTGGTACTTGGTGTTGGGGTTCAGGCCCGTTACATGAGCCGATGTGACCAGCCCCGCGGTCCTCACCCTGTCAGCTGCCTCCTCTTTGTCACCATCCTTCCAGTACCGGATCTGAGTAGAAAAGGGTAGGATGGGTTTGGTGAGGACAGAAGCATCTGCAAATACCAGTCTCAGTCCATCCATAGGACCACGGAATGGTTTGGGTTGAAGGGAGCTTAAAGCTCCTCCAGCCCCAACCCCTGCCCCGGGCAGGGACACCTTCCACTAGAGCAGGTTGCTCCAAGCCCCTGTGTCCAACCTGGCCTTGAACACTGCCAGGGATGGGGCAGCCACAGCTTCTCTGGGCACCCTGTGCCAGCGCCTCAGCACCCTCATCCACAGCCAGTGCTGGAGGCTCTTTGGTATTTGTCTGCATTTTGCTTAGTATGTGCCTGGGAAGAAGGTTACAGCCTTCAGTAATAGGGCACTAGTACTGGTCCCATTAGAGCTTGTGCTGTCCATTAATTCTCCTCCATCCTTGGAAACAAAACTCCACCTCACTGAGCCTGGGAATTTTCTCTGCTGGGCTTTCCAGGCTCAGTTTCTGTGTCTCTTATTCACACGCAGGCTCGTACCTCGTAGCCCAGCAGCACTCCGGTCATGTCTCCCTGCTCAATGGGCTCCCAGGATACATCCATTTCTGAGGACAGAACAGCCTTGGCTATAACTCTGAACGGAGCCACTTTGGGTTCTGAAAAAGACAACAAAAGGGAATAAAATCCTTTTCGTGTCTCCAGGCAGCGCAGTGGCCATGCTGACACCAAGGGCTCTCCTGCAGCACCGTCACCGTGCAGCAGACAGCTGGTGTTATGTGCACGGAGTAAAGTAAGAGGAAGGGATTTAGGGACTTAGTAGGACAAGCAGGGCCACAGATGTGTGCTCTGAGGATCTGTGTCTGCTCTGAAGCTCCGGGTTACGGGGAAACATGTCCCTGTGTATTTGAAGTAGATCAATGTTATACTGGAACCTCTGCCTGCTTCTCTGTGAGTAGAAGAAACCTCTCCTACTGCTGAGCTCCCAGACTCAGCTCTGCAGGCGCTGGTTAAGGACACATGGGTTGGTTCATGGTGCGTTCCGAGCCCCTGCAGCCCCCCTTTACCTTCCTCTGCAGAGTACACGATGGCGGTGAGGCTCTCTGGGCCCTCTCCCCTCCTGTTGTACGCTTTGATCTTCACTTCGAAGGGGGTGTAGGGGCCGATGCTCTCGTTGCGGTACACGTAGTGCAGCGACTCGGCGCGTGGCACCCGGGCTGTCAGCCACCCCTCCGTGCCCCTCTTGCGGAAGGACAAGATGTAGCCGAAGCCGTCTCCGTTCTGGTAGTCCCGCAGCGTGGGCTGGGGGGGAGCGGGAAGAGAGAGGAGCCTCGGTCCGCTCAAAGGAGCAACACGTTGGACTAAGCGCAGCGTTCGGCTTCACCGCGTCCCACGGGCATCGTCGCAGCTCGGAGGGGATGGCACCTGCTCCCCCCTTGGCCCCCTCCCAGCCTCCACTTACCGTCCAGTTGATGATCAGCTCGTTGGGAGCCCCTCCGCCTCCGCTGAGCCCAGATGGTGCCACAGTAGGTGCTGTCAGGTCCCCAAACAAAAGCAGACAGCACAGGTTGGGTTAAGGGAAGGGTGGTGATGAAGATGAGCACAGACACTGCACAGTCTGGGGCTAAGCCAGGCTCTGGCAGCTCGGATCAAGGCGCTGGGCTGGGTCTCCAGCCACGAGCACGTCAGATATTATAGTCTAGAATCTGCCTACTGCCTGATGAGCTTATTTGGAGGCAGCACGTCCCGGAGGGGACAAGAATCAAGCTCAAAAGCAGGGATGTGGAGGGCAGCTTTCATCAGAAAGAATTTAATATGCATTTGGTATGTTAAGAGCAGTTCTCCTGCTGTTGTTACGTCCCTTCTGCTTGCCCATGCAAGCAGCAGAAGATAGAATGAGCATTCACAGCCATTTGCTGGGAAATTCACCTTATCTTTGCAGAGCTGTGCTCTGTGATCTACCAGGGCTCTTTCCAAGCATTGCTGCCCAGAAGGACCAGGATTTGGAGCTAGGATGGATAATGGTTTAATATCCTGTATCTAATGCTGGCGAAGTGAGCTGCCAGCTCTAGTGCTGCTTTGTCTTTGACATGTAAATGGGCACAAAGGCAGACACTTTAGAGATGGCATCACCTCTAGGAGCACTCAAGGAGATGACCAGTTGTTTTGGACCAAGGCGTGCTGCAAGCCAGCATTGCCCCCTCCAGCACACAGGGACAGGTACCTTGGATTCCCCCTTCCACCTCTGAGCATCTCTGCACGTACCTGCTTCTTTGGTACGGATTTTGCTGGAGGGTAAACTCGGCTCCCCAACTCCAAGGATGTTGCTTGCTAAGACCCGGAACTCATAATCCATCCAAGGAATGAGGTTCACCACCTGGGCTGTCTCTGCGTTGCCTTCAATATTTACAGGATCTATATAATCCAATAACAGGAGGGGAGAACAAACAGAGCGAGTGGCAGCCAGTGCAGGAGCGCAGAGCCGGGACTGGGCAGCGAGCTGGTGTCCCACCACATGGGCCCTGCCACCACCACTGCCCCCTGGGCACTTACTGGTCCGCATTTGCTTCCATTTGCTGGAGAGGAGGGTCCGTGCCTCCACGATGTACCTGGCGATGGGGCTGTGGTTGTCAAAGCCCCGGCTCCAGCTCAGCTGGACAGTGGTGTCACCGATGTCTCTCACCACCACCCCCCCCGGGGGGCCTGGGGGGCCTGCGATGGTGGGAGACACACACACGTTACTGAGATGAAGGATTTGGGGGCTTGTTGCTCTTTATGTTGGGCAAGTCCTACATGAGGCTTTTCTTTTCTGGAAGCCTCCAAGTTTGGCCTCCAGAACAGCTCATAAGCCTGTTGCATCCAGCTCAAATATGAGATGCCCGTGGCAGGGGTTGGAACTGGATGATCTTAAGGTCCTTTCCAACCCAAACCATTCTATGATTCTACGGTGAGGTGGCCTCATGGGACGACCAAACTGACCCCTTGCAAGCACCATGCTGTTACTTCAGGCTTGCAAAGAGCTGGGGACTTTACAACAGAGAAATCACCTCTGACAGTGAGTGTGGCTGACTCCGACGCGCTGTCCACAACAGTCTGGGCTGTACATGTGTATCGCCCCGAGTGCTTCAGCTGCGTGTTGAAGATGCTGAGGTCCCCAACGGCTTCCTTCTGCGTGAGGAAAAGACAGTAGGGAGAGCGCTTGAACACGCCTGATCACATCCAGCATTCAACAATGTATTGGCACAATGTATGCGGCAAGGTTTTGGTAGTGGAGGGGCTCCAAGAGTTTGTGAAGCCCATGGATTATCGTGGTGGAGACATTCCATGTCCCCGGAGACATTCAAGGCCAGGCTGGATGTGCTGCTGAACAACCTGATTTAGGGGAAGGTGTCTT